AAAAAAAAAAAATTTCAAAATCTCAAGTCATTTTATACTTGTAGCCCATCTTAATTCAGACTAACCCATTTAAGTATTCAAAAGCCATATGTGGCTAGTGGCCACCTTACTGCACAGTACAATTACAAAGTGTCATAAATATAATGTGATTTTACTTTGACTTCATTTCAAAACATTTATTCCATTTATATTTTTTAACTACATATGCACATGTACTGATTGCTTTAGCATATCTTTCCATCTATATGAATCATTTGCAAAAAGGTCATAATATTCTTGTGATAGGCCTTACTAGGCCTAAGTTTGTAATATCTGGTTAAGAAACAATTATATGAGGGCTGGGGATATGGCTCAAGTGGTAGCGTGCTTGCCTGGCATGTGCGGGGTGCTGGGTTCAATCCTCAGCACCACATAAAAATAAAGATGTTGTGTCCACTAAAAACTAAAATATAAATATTTAAAAAAATTATCTTTAAAAAAATATGAACATTAAAAAAAAAGAAAAGAAACAATTATATGAAAAGGGACAAATCAAAATTTTACCTGGTAATCAACTTCTTATTAAATCTTCTTTCATAAGCTGCACTGATAGCCAATGATGCCACAAAGGAGCAATCTGATACTATTGTCTGTTAACAAGAACAATGTATAATATGTTTTCATTCATGTATCACAATAACTTAATATTTATTCAATGCATCCAAAATTTGATTTTTTTCTTCTTGAGTGTCGTTAGGAAAATTACAGAAATGTCAAGTTGCCAACTCATAAATTCTAATCACACAAATCCTAGTAAAGTATTTCAATAAAGTTAATTTAGAATAATTAGATATTTAAGTAGTAAAAACCTTTTATATCTATTCCCTATCAAAGGCAAAATTCAGAATCTCAAGTTTCTCATCTACAAACATGAGCACCCATAAATGCTCAAAAATTTATTCATAGTTACAAATTATCTCAATCTTTAAATGCATTGAATAAGTAACTGTTCCAATTATACTTATGCATAAGAATATACAAAATCTAGGGAAAAAAAATCCATATTTAAATTTTCTTAAAATGCTAACTTGCACATAAAAGTAGACAAAACAAATGTATACCTGCTTTATGCTAAAACTGGACACAGTATATATCATTGTTGGATTGTTGGTGAGATCTTCTGGTCGTACCCATTTGGAAAATGTAGTTTTTTGTTTAGGTGATAACGGTAGCTTGCCCAATCTATCACTGAGATAATAAATAAATAAATAAACAAACAAACAAACCTAAAAAGATGACTTAAAGCCAAAATTAAATATCCTACAGAGTATATTTTTTTCTCTTTGGTATAGTGATTTTATATCTATACTTATATCTTCCTAACATAACTCTCTAGTCTCAATCTGGCTCTTTACCTTGAGTCCAGACAACCTGAACATCCTCAACTAAATAAATATACATAAATAACTGCAAAGCTAAATTAAATTTATTTATATGTACTTTAAAAATATAATTTAAAAGTTTAGTTTGAAATGCTTATGTTCAAGAAATTCAGAAATAAAACGGTGCCATGACAACAGTATAAGCTAATTCATTCAAAAGACCCTAGGAAGCTACAAAGCCTTAACCTAGGTCTTAAACTCCTCTGCAAGGCTAATTGAAAGTAGCTAATTTACTGAGTATCAGTTCTGTGCCAAGCATCCTTGAAACAACTCTATTAAAAATAGTTCTGAAGTAGGCTTAAAGTGATTAACACCAAGGTCATGTAGCTAATGAAGAGTACAACTGCATTTAAACCAAGTTGGTGCCAAATCCACCATTCTTACCCATTACCCTCTACTTGCTCTGTGCTGTAATATTTCTCCAAAACTGATATACAGCACCAAATAAAAACTTACCTTTTCTCAAACCTTTTCCAGAGGAAGAATGACAAATCTTTGGATTTCAAAAGATTTCTGGATTATATAAGGTCTATGATATGCAAACTACAATAAACATGACATTCTGTTTTCAAAGAATGCTCATAGATACTAAGAGAAAGGATTTTGGAGTCAGGTATGACTTTCAAATTTTTGGCCAAAGTATTATTTTCTTCATTGCTGGACAAATCTAGACTTTTAATAAGCCAATGTTGGTTGTAAATCTCTGAGTTGAATAAGGCATACACCATTTCTTAAACTTTTCTGATCATTATCTCACAGAACTTCTGGTGTTACAGGCTTGGTGCCTGTATAATATTAGGAGCTGTTTATAAATAGAGATCTAACTCAATTTAGAGGAGCTTAAAGATCACCATCATAAAYTCTGAGGGGAAAATTTAAGACTACTTCAAACTTACAATAGAGAAATCGAAGATTTCTTAGGTGAAATTATGAAAGTTTAAAATTTTTWAAAAATATTTGAAACATGTAGCCAAATTATTATAATTTAGTGCTTATTAAAATAAGTATTTTTCTATCAGTTAACCCTTATATACACCTACACAGTGCTTGCTATATAATAAGCACCACTGTAAGTGCTCCGTATTTTAGTAACTCTTTTAATCATCACAGTATCCATGAGGTAGGTTCTATTATTATCCTCAATTTTTATAGATGAGAAAACAGAGATTTAACTTATCCAGCATCTCAGGAATTCAAACTGGAAYATTTGTCTCTAAAATCTGTGCTCTTAACATCAAAGCTATTAAAGTTTCTAAGATATAAGGATTCCTTAGACTCCAATTATTACTAGAATCTCACAGTTGGTTGCCAGAGGGAAAAAATTAGGTTGACTTATTAGCAGTCAGATATCTAATTCTTGGCCATTTAAGAATAGCAAAACACTGGAAAATGAAAAGCAGCCCTATTGTTCTATTTTTTTAATTTATAATATTGTAAGCATTTTTCCTATATTTTTAAAAAGACTTTTTATTTGGGTAGCATATATATTGTATGGATGTACCATTATTGAATTATTGCCACAGCCCTAAATATTTTGTCTCAATAATTTTTTTGCTCTAACAGACGCTTTTGTAAGGGTCTTATGTTTTCTCTCATACTGTTGAAGCAAGTGAGAAAAAAGGAAAGACTGGTATGTAGATTGGGGAATCTCATGAAAACAGAAGGAAGATGAGGAGAGTAGAGGAAGGGGGTCAGGAGGATAGAGGAAGAGAAGGAAAGGCGAGACACTTGGAAACAAAACTTACCGCTGGTATGCATGCACCAATATGTAATGACAAATCCTACTATTATGTATAATTATAATGCACCAAGTTTTAAAAAAAGATTCTTTAATGAATGCTCTTACTACATACACCTTTGAACTGAATATTGATTTCATTAGGACCAGAAGCTGGGGAGTCCTGAACGGAGCAATATTTTTAAGGTTCTTGACAAACTGCCATTGTCCTTTCTGAAAGGCTGTGTCAATTTAATACCTTTTATAATTCTTCCTTAAGTTGGATCCTTTTAGTAAACAATGATACCGTTATTCTGTGCCACTTTTCCATTCAATTCTTTTACTGGCTTGTATTTCTGTTGTGATTCAATCAGCCAACGGGACAACTGTTACTGAGTACTTACTTTGTGCCAGACCTGTACTAGTCACTATGAGTATGTTTGTTAGGTCAAAGGAAGTCAACATAAGCCATGACAAGGGAACTGAAAACAAAGGGCTCCTACTGTTATCTCACCTCTTTCCCACAGACACATCGCCCAACAATTTTCCTTATTAAAAATTTTAGTTACAAGCCTATGAATTAAATCAAATTTCAGAGAACTAATACAGTACTGACATTTTTAAAAATGGCCTTGAAAGTAAAAATTACAACAGTGCTTACTTACCAAAAAGGCATTGGGTAAGCAAAACGTTCCCTCAGATCAACACTCATGAAAGGAACATATTCTATACCATTTATTTTTGATGTTGTCCTATAAAACACAATAAAAAAAATCCAAGGTAAATGTTCAAGTCTACCTTAATCATAATCTTTTTTTTTTAAAGAATTTTATATTTATTATTTTTTAGTTTTCAGTGGACACAACATCTTTGTTTGTATGTGGTGCTGAGGATCGAACCCGGGCCTCACGCATGCCAGGCGAGTGCGCTACTGCTTGAGCCACATCCCCAGCCCCCTTAATCATAATCTTAAACTCTCTAAAATTTAAATGACAAGGTATAGTACTACATTGAAATTAAACTGACACCTCATGTTGTTAAATATATTTGGACAAAATTTTCATAAAATAATTAAATATCACCCAAAAAAATAATGCAATTAAATTTAATGAGAGTTTTCTTTAAAGACTTAACATCCCGGGGCTGGGGTTGTGGCTCAGTGGGAAAGCACTAGCCTAGCATGTGTGAGGCACTGGGTTCAAGCCTCAGCACCACATAAAGATGAATAAAGGTATTGTTCATCTACAACTAAAACATTAAAAAACAGACTTAACATCCCACTGGGTTTGTTCCCCAGCACCACATAAAAATAAATTAATAAAATAAAGGTACTGTGTCCATCTACAACTACAAATATTTTAATAACTTTATTTATTTATTTTTTATGTGGTGCTGAGGATCGAACCCAGCATCTCACACATGCTACGGGAGCGCTCTAAAAAAAGACTCAACATCCTTCACAACAAAACTTCAGTGTCAAGTAGGCACAGTGGAACACTCCTGTAATCCTAGAAATTTGGGAGGCTGAGGTAGGAGGCTTACAAGTTCCAGGCCAGCCTCAGCAACTCAGTGAGACCCTGTCTCAAAAATTAAAAAGGGCTAAGGATGTGGCTCAGTGGTTAAGCACCCCTGGGTTCAACCCCTTTACCAAAACAAAAACAAAATAAAACAAAAACCTCACAAAACCAGTGTCAAGATAGGCCTTTCTAGAGGTGATGAAAGTCTCCTTTTTGTCCCTTAACAGGACATAGAGCTAATTCTATACTGAGCCCAAAGTTATTTTGAAATCTAAAAAATATAGATAGCATTTACAATTCTCAAAAAAAAATATGCTCTCCTCATTTTCTGGTTATGGGAATGTGGAACAGGTAGTGTTAGAAGAAAGTGTTACAGGTATCAGGTATGGTCTGTTGACAAAGAAGGTTTGAGTAGCTTTGCATATTTTCTCCTTGTTTTRTATACATACATGTTTGCATATGTTAACTATGTACTTCCTGTGTCTCCTTTGAGAATAACCACAATGGCTCAAAGATTTATCTAACTTACACTGCTTCAGCAGGCAGTCCAGGGTTTCCACATTACTGTGTTTCACACTTTTAATATGCCCTGAGTCTGCTTTCAGGGACACTGAGCTGTCTATCTAGACCAGAGGTATGGAAATGCTTTTTGTAAAGGGCTGGATGGAATACAATGTAGGTTTTGTGGTTTCTGTCAAACATATTCTTCTGTTTCATTTTCTTAAAAAGAAAAAAAGAACTGAAAAACTATTCATAGCTCAAGACTTCTATTTGCTGGTCTAGAGTGCTATTTCAACATAACATTTTTCCCCCATTAGGGCTTTAGTTACAAAGTTACACAGACTATCATACTCTGCCATAGGTCTGTTTTGCTCCTTAACCTTTAAGATTCAATTTTGCAAAATRCCAGGACTTACAGAAAAACACATTATGTCTACTAAAAAAAATATTAAATACAAAGATATATTAGAATCAATAAATTTTAATAATTTCAAGTTGTGACTCTAATTTACATTTATATTACAACATATAACAAAAGTCTGAATACAATTCAGCAAACCTAATGAGAGTAAAATTGCCTGCATCGAGATGTTAACAAAATTCTTCATTGCAATGAAGTATAAATGGATTTACCTGAGCACTTCTATTTCTTCCGCTGTGTATCTCTGTCCTTGTGCATCACATGACTGTTGACTTATGAATGGCTGAGGTTTTTCAAGGAATGGATTAGGTCCTAATGGAAAATGTGTTCTCACTGGTGGTGGCTTTGGTTTATTACTTGTGGACTTGATCTTGCAAAATGGTTTTGTCAAAGGTTCACTCAATGCTTCTGCTCTATAACAGAGGTGCACATACACATACAAAAAAAAAAAGTTCTAGTTTTTCTTTTCAAACTAAGCCTTTAGGAAATAAAATTTACTCCAAGAATAGTCAAGCACCCCAATGGAAAACTGGAATATAAAATTTGTACATAGTAGTCAAATTTTAACTACTAAAGCTAATCCCTTGTAAATATTTAAGTAAATATTTTTGCAAATATTATTAAATTGTCAACATCAATTGAACACTTACACCAGATACTATGCAAGGTAAGGAGTATACAAGAATGTATAAAACAATCTCTACCCTAAAGATGTTCATGGTTTTCCACAGGAGAAAAAGAACTGCATCAAAATGACAGATGCCAAGAAAGAAGTATTATATGCATAACAGAAATTACAGATTTTCTGATTGAGAAGAGAGGCTGAATAAGGGAAGGTTGCTTTGAATCAATGCCTGAGCCACAGAATTATTCACCTAGGGAGTAAGCTTTTTTTTTTTTTTTTTTTTAACAATTCAGCAAACCTAATAAGAGTAAAATTACCTGCATCAGTAAGTAAAATTGCCCTTTTTTTGGGGGGGGTAGTATTGGGTATTGAACTTTGGGATGATCTCAACTGAGCTACATCCTCAGTCCTTTTTACTTTGAGACAGGGTCTCACTAAGTTAACAAGGCTGGCCTTGAACTTGCAATTGTGTTCCTTCAGCCTCCCAAGTAGCTGGAATAACATGCATGTGCCACTGTACTCAGTAAGAATGCATTCTTACTGAGCATGTACAAAATATGCAGAAGTATGAAATAGCAGAGAGAGTTGAGGTAATTTCAAGAGAATGGATATAGCCCTTAAAAAAGGTACAAACGAGAGGCAGCAGGTGATGAGACAAGAGGAAGGCAGGGCTTGGCTTACAGAAGGCCTACATGATATGCAAGTGAATTTTGACTTTCTTCTGTCAAAGAACAAGGTAAAAAATAAAAGTTCTTAACCTAAAATCCATATATGAACTTCTAGAATCCTGTGAATACTCAGCCAGGCACAGAGGTGCACACCTGTGATCCCTGCAGCTTGGGAGGCTGAGGCAGGAGGATTTCAAGTTCAAAGCCAGCCTCAGCAAATTAGTGAGCCCCTAAGCAACTTAGCAAGACCCTGTCTCTAAATATAATATAAAATGGGCTGAAGACGTACTCAGTGGTTAAGCACCTCTGGGTTCAATCCTCAGTACCAAAAAATTAAAAATAAATAAATAAATAAAATAATCTTGTGAATACTATGAAATTACATGTTAAAAAATGCTTATGTACATTTTCCTACAAAATGGACTGATAATTTTCAACAGATCCTCAAAAGAACCCATGACTGTCGCACACACACCCTTTGCTTAGAAGRTGCACTTGGGAATACTGGATGATGGGTTATCTACACATGTGGAGAGCAGTGACAGTAACTGGGAGACCAGTGTCTGAGATTGGGGTCCCTTATGACTTCATGGCTGTGGCATGCTTGGTGACTGGGAAAGTTTCTATGCAAAGGTGTTGGATGYCCGGTTGCTATGGCAATGCTCTCTGTGAAGAGACTCTGTTCAAGACTCTTATCAGCTTTGACCTAATTATCAGGCACACAGGTCCTGGGAATGAAGGAGCTGCCTTGCTAAGATAACCACAATGTTTCACCAGTTATGCTGCTCTTGCATCTGCCTGCAAATTAGGACTTTGAGAGCTGCACAATGCTCCTAACATTGCACATTGCAACTGTTGAATGTAACTGAGGAAATAGCTGCTTACTATTGCTAACTCTGTAACTTTCATGAACACAAAGAATAATGCTTGCATAGTCTTTAATCTGATTAATGAGACATATATAACAAAGATAGCTGGTGTCATTCTTTAGACCTGCTTCTCCATCAGAGAGCAGTGCTCCACCTGATCCCAGCTTTTTTATCTTCAAGATCTGCATGTGTGACTCTTTATTTTTTCCAATCTCCCATCACCCCTCGCCGCACCTGTTAGTTTGGCAGCGATGGTCACGGCATATACAGGTAATAAAAGTAGGCTAAGATTCTGACTGGTGAAATAAGTCAAGATGGAAAAGACAACTATGTGTCAAATGCTCATTTTCAAGAATTTATGGAAACAAACTAAAGGTTGATGGTGATGAGGAAAATAGGAATGACTGATATACCTCAATTAAAAAAACTGAAAATTATATAGCTATTCAGAGTTCAAAAGGAAATAGTTTAATAATTCATAAAAGCAATCTCCATCCTTTTCCTTTATCTACAACCCTCTTTCAAAAGGTATAATTATCTTGTGCAAATCTACTCATTCTTTCAACAGGTATCTAATAAGCACACACTATGTGTCGGGTGAGGTGCTTAGTGATAGCACTGAACTTACATTTAGGGAATAAGCATTCAAAGAGACATATACATTAGTAACAAATAGGATAAACTTGTGTATTTCAGTTTAGAAAGAGCTGTGGGAAAGAATTTTTGAAGAGAATAAGCCGGATAAAGTGCTGGGGAAGATTTGGTTTTAAATACAATAGATAGTGCTGGCCTCACTGAAAAGTTGATATTTGAGCTCGAGGTGAAAGAGCTACATATATGGCATAATTTGGGGAATGAGTATGGCTAAAAGCAGGATTGTTCTCAACCTATATTTCTCAGTAGCTCTAGAAGGTTTTCTGAAAGTTTTCCTCTTTGGAAGTTTCTCATTGTAAGTATCAGTCATTTCTGTACTCTGTATATAAAAAATCAAAAACACTTCTTGACTGATTAACTGGTTATTTCTTGAGTTTAAAGCAAAGAACTAGAGGAATAAGATAGGACATCTGGATCTCAGTTTAAACAAAGGTTTTTTTTTACTATGATCTCTACCATTCATTAAGATAAATATTTTATGTAATAAGTAACATCACATTCTATCTAGGATAAGAACTTGAGAGATCAAAACTCACCTATCTAGTGCTTGTCGAGCCAACTGTTTCAGTTTATTTTGCAAGGTTTTATCAGCAGTTTCATAAGACTTAAGAGGAGAAAAAAGAAACATTTTAAAGCTTAATTAATTTTTAATTGACCCATATTTCTATGCAAAAAAATGCAATGCACATTATAGTTCTTGAAATTGAGGAAAAATGACATTTTTAGTTTTCTCTTTAAAAATTATGATTTTAAAAAGTGTTGAAATTTGTCACTGAGGTGAACTTAAAAACGACTGAATGTGAGCTGGGGCTATAGCTCAGTTGGTAGAGTGCTTGCCTTGCATGCACAAGGCCCTTGGTTCAATCCCCAGCATCACAAAAAAAATTTAAAAATACTGAATGTGGACAAGTGCTAAATAGACCATAATTGTACAACCACTGTGCCATGAAAGGCTGAGTGATAGGAAACTTAGAATTCTTACCTATGGTCTCAAACACTTACAGAAATCAGGCTAGATGGTTTCTCTGAACACTTACTGAAAAGCTGGCACTGTGTAAGACACTGAACACTAGTCTTTACCACTTTACCTCTTCCTTCCAAATACACTGTACTCTTAAGCACCACATGCCCCCTGAAGCAGAGCCCGAACCAAGGCTCTCTAGGGAACAATAAAAACCACCCAAGCATATACATTTGACATTAAAAATTAGTAAAATGCTCCCAAACCACTACCTTATTTTTTACTGCATAAAATTGAAAAAAATAAGAGTTTATTCCAAATCATAGATTTGTGATGAATTCTTCCTATATTAAGTTAACTACTAGAGTATAAACATTTAAAAAAATAGTACCCGGGGGGACCGAGATTATGGCTCAGTGGTGGAGCGCTTACCTCCCATGYGTGAGGCACTGGGTTCAATCCCCACACCACATAAAATGAAAACAAACAAAAATAAAGGTAAAAAAAAATAGTACCTGTAATTTATAAAGCAATTGCCTAAGTGACTCAATCTTAATAGTAAAAATTATAGCAAGCTGTGTAAAAACCCATTTCTAACTTTCTATTCTTCATCATCTTTTAGATGATTAATTTAATTTAGTTCCATTTATAATGATGGAAAAATTCTTTTCTTTGAGGAATTAACCAGAACTCATTAGTAAAGGAAGAAATTTCTTCTTTCCTTTTTTTGTTACTGGAATTAAACCCAGGCTGCTTTACCACTGAGCTACATCCCCAACCCTTTTTAGGTTTTATTTTAAGACAGGGTCTCATTAAGCTGCTAAGGGCCTCACTAAGTTGCTGAGGCTGACATGGAACTTGGAATCTTCCTGCCTTAGCCTCCTGAATCTTGGAAATTACATGTACATGACACCACATCCCTTTTTATTTTGTATTTCAGACAGGGTCTTCCTAAGTTGCTGAGGCTGGCCTCTAACTTGTGATCCTCCTGCTTCACCCTCCTGAGTGGCTAGGATTACAGGTATGTGCTCAGCAATAAAGGAAGAAATTTCTGAACATAATTCTACAAGTTTAACTTGAAGCTATACATACAGTTTTCAGACAGAGATCCACAGCTTCTGTATACAATTCTATAGCATCTTCAACATTCCCTTTCTCATCTTCATCAAAAGCTTGTGTAACGAGGAAATGGGCACGCTCTAGGTCCAACTGATGTTTTGATTTCAAAGGATCAGCACTCTTTGACTGAACTAGGATGATGAGGCGTGGGGGGGGGGAGAAAACATATGTAAATAAGAAATATTACTTAAATATAGACAGAGGACAAAATACCATTTTAATTCATTTGATGTTCTTTACCAACACACTACACTCTTTCATTTAAAAAGCTTAACAAGGTATTTTTTAAAAATCCTTAAAAAAGTACTAATCCCCACTTATCCCTTTTCTTGGTATTAGTGATTTGACTCAGAGGCACTTATAATACCACTGAACTATATCCTCAGCCCTTTATTTTATTTTTGAGATGGGGCTTTGTTAAGTTGCTTAAAGCCTTGCTAAGTTGCTGAGGCTGGCCTTGAATTTKCGATCTCCTTGTCTCAGCCTCCCAAACTTCTGGGATTATAGGCCTTTCTCTTTTTAATCTTTTTTTTTTTTTTTTTTTTAATGAACACAATACCTTTTTTTGTTTATCTTTTTTTTAATTTTTATTGGTTGTTCAAAACATTACAAAGCTCTTGACATATCATGTTTCATACATTAGATTCAAGTTAGTTATGAACTCCCATTTTTACCCCAAATACAGATTGCAGAATCACATCTGTTACGCATCCACATTTTTACATAATGCCCTATTAGTAACTGTTGTATTCTGCTACCTTTCCTATCCTCTACTATCTTTTATGTGGTGCTGAGGATCAAACCCAGTGCCTCACACGTGCTAGCAAGCACTCTACCAGTGAGCCACAGCCACAGCCCCTTTTTAATCTTTTGTTGTTGTTGTTGTTGCTGGGATACCAGGGACTGAATGCAGGGGCACTTGATCACTAAGCCACAACTCAGTGACAGGGTCTCAATGAGTTGCTTAGTGCTGTGCTTTTGCTGAGGCTGGCTTTGAATTCGTGATCCTCCTRCCTCAGACTCCAGAGCCGCTGGAATTATGGTGTGTGCCACTGTGCCAGGCTCTCTTTATAATCTTAATTTTAGGGCAAACAAAACAAAGCATTGGAGGATGAAGGGAGATGCAGCTATTTGATTCATCACATGATAGACACCAGAAACCAGAAAAATTAAAAACCTTTTATCAAAAAAMCATTTTCCCTGAATTTGTCTCCCTACAGCACTTCCTTCATCTACAAAATAAAATATTAGTCGTCTTCACATTCCCCTCCCATCCTAAAAACAAAACAAGAACCTGGAAAATACTACATCTTAAGAAACCCCATTATATTTTAAGGCAATTAAATTTTTTTCAATATGGACAATATTTGTATAATATGATATGCTAGGCCCTAATGACAAAGTTTCTGCTTTTCTATTCATTTGAGTCCAAAATAAACTACCATATAGTCTTACTGCTCTTTGAAACAATTATATCCATTTGTATTTATTTATTTTGCAGTACTGGGAATTGAACCTAGGGCCTTGTGCATGCAAGGCAAGTAAGTGCTCTGCTATTGAACCACACCCCCAGCTCCTTTCCATTTGTTTTGTTCTGGTTTAGTGTTTACTGTTTATTTCTTATTTTTAGTGCATTATTGTAACAGTGGGGTTCATTCTGACATATTCATAAATGCATATAACAGTTTTCTCCATTTCATTCCAATATTTCCCTCTTCCATTTGTTTGTAATGGAAAGATATGTCTCTATAAGAAATTTATAACCAGAAAAAATAAAGATCTGCTACAAAAACAAAGAGACAACCCAATTAAAAAGTGGACAAAGTATCTCAATAGACATCTCTCCAATGAAGACATGCAAATAACTAAGTAGCACATGAGAAGATGTTTATCATCATCATCCATCAAACAAATGCAAATCAAAACCACAATGAGATGCTTTGTACCTATCAGCATGGCTAAAATAAAAAAGACAATAACAACTATCCATGAAGATGTTAAGGAACTAGAATCCTTCTATGCTTCTGGTAGAACTATAAAATCTGTTAGCAGCTTTGGAAAACAATGTRGCAGTTAATCTTAGAGTAATCCTATTACTCAGCAATTCCATTCCTGGGTATATATCTAAGAGAACTGAAAGCAGCACACTTCCACACAAAAACCTGTATAAAAATGATTATAATAGTATTATTCATAATAGCCAAAAGGTGGGGGGGGACCCCCAAATACCTATCAATTGATGAATAGATAAACAAAATGTAGTAAATCAATACAATGAAATACAATTCATCCATAAAAAAGAATGAAGGCCTGCCATATTCTACAACACTGATAAACATTACAAATATTAAACTAAGTGAAAGAAGCCAGACAACAAAAGAGATTAAATGATTCCGTATTGCACAAATCCATTTATATGAAAAAATCCTGAAGAGGCAAACCTAGAGAGACAGGAAGTAGATTAGTGGTTGCTAGGGGTGAAGGGTTGAAGGAATGGGGAGTAACTAACTATAAAGGATATGGAATTCCTTTTAAGGTTACAAAATGTTCTAAAATTAAATAGTGGTGATGCTTAAACAACTCTGGAAATACACTAAAAATCAATGAATTTTATCATTTAAAGATGAACTTTATGGTATACTAATTATATCTCAATAAACCCATTTTTTTAAGTTTTTAATATTTTTCTTAGTTTTTTTGTTTTGCTTGGTTTGGCATAGGGGATTGAACCCAGGGGTGCTTTACTATGAAGTTAAATCCAGGGTCCCTTTTTATTTGTGATTTTGAGACAAGTTCTTGATAAATTGCTTAGGGCCTTGCTGAATCATTGAGGTTGGCCTTGAACTTGTCCTCCTGCCTCAGCCTCCTGAGACACTGGGATTACAGGCGTGTGCCATTGTGCCCAGCTTTGTTAGTTTCTTAAGGGTATGTGCTGATGTTTTTAAACTTTGACCTTCATTAATATCTGACATATGTGCTAATCCCATTCATAAAATAAAGACATCAAAGCTCAAAACTATTAAACTACATAGCCAGTATATCTCAGCCTTGGCATTATTGACATTTTGAGCTGAATAATTCATTGTTGTGGAGAAATGTCCTGTGTATTGTGAATTTTTAACAATATCCCATGTCTCTACCTTAGATGCCAGTGGCATAGCCATCATATAATTTTTCCCTTATAGAGTATGTCTTCTTTATCATTTAGTCACACATATTTCTGAAAGGGAATGCCATTATAATGCAATGTTTATACATTTCTCTCCACACCTGACTGAGGGCTTCCTAAGGGTTCATCTACCACCCAGTGCTTACCATATAGCCCAAACATTCACTTGATAAATGTTTGTTGAAATAAGAAAATATCTATGGAAAAAACAGGAATATCGTGGAAGTAGACATGAAAGATTGATTTCTCAACTTTAAAGGTAATTTTATTTGAAAACAGGTTATGAAATAAGGTGTGCTATTCATGAAACCAAGCCATTAAACCAAGCCATTAAATCAAGAATTTCATTTACTTGGTTAGGAAAATGAAATTACTCTCAATCACACTGTATTATTATTATTGTTGTAGTTGTTTTTGAAGTATTGGGGATGGACCAAGGTCCTTGCACATCCTAGACAAGAGCTCTACCATTGAGCTACACCCCCAATCCACATAAAATATTCTGAACACAAGAATCAGTATAACTTTCTATAAAGTGAAGCCTAATACACAGGCAATCCACTTTTCAATACATGAGATTTCTGGGCACTGTCTTAAAGTAATCTATAACAAAGGTTGTAATGGAATCAAAAGTAGATCAATTCTACTTTATCCTAATCATATGCTTATAACTGTTCATTCTATTCAAAATGAGTAGCAGAAAGTAATACAAAGTTCATCACGGTAAAGATTTGTCTGCCTGTGTATTTATTATTCAGCAACAGAAAAAATAATTTAAAAATTTCCCCAGAGAGATTAATGCATACTAAAACAAAATGTCAAAAAGAAAGCATTTTCTTTTCCACTCATGTGAACAGCAGATTTTGACAAGAATCAACCCCTTATCTCTAACAAAACCACGGTCATTAAGTCTATGTGTACTTCTATCAGAGCACTTGCCATGCTGTTTACAAAAATAAATAAAAGCTACTATGGTTTGGATAGGAGATAGCCCTCCGAAAACCTCCTGTGTTAACACATGAATATTCCCAAGCAAAATGACTAGATTAAAAGAACTGTAATCTGATCAGTCCATTCTAGTTTGAATGGACTGCCTGGGTGGTAAATGTAGGCAGGTGGGACATGAATGGAGGTGGTCATGGGGGGCATGTCCTGGAGGTTCATTTTTCCCTGCAACTACTTACCCCTTCCTTCTCTCTGCTTCCTGGCTGCTATGAACAGAGCAGCGCTCCTTCACCACACTCTTCAGCCATGATGTTCTATCTCACCTTGGTCCCATAGCAATAGACTAGGCTGACCATGAACTAAACCTCTGGAACTGTGAGTCAAAATAAACCTTCCCTCTTCCAAATTGTTCTTGTAAGGTATTTTGGTCACAGCAACAAAAAGCTGATTAACGCACGAGCTATTCTAGATCTCTGCTTATATGTCACTTTTCCAAGTTATGATTTTTTTTTTTAAACTTCAGCCAAGGATTGGTGGTAGAAAACAATGATAGAGACTATATATATTGCTGAAATATTTAAACACTTAAGATTAGTCACTTAATTTTAATATCAAAAGAGGGCATATGTCAGAGATTTAAAAAGCCAAATTCTAACAGGACCCCATCTAACTTTGCCAATGACAAATTGTTTGAAAGTAGATAATCCACTATCTCTGCACATCTAGCAAGTTGGGAGACTGGAGTTTATTATCTTTAAGGCTTCTCTTATAGATCTATCATTTATTTACATATTATAATTTTTCAAGAGGAATGAGCAAAAAGAGTATGAAGACCAAGATCCATAGATGAAGAACAGGAGAGAAATACAGGAAGAATAGATGTAGTGGCAGAGAAGGAAAAAAAAAAAAAAGCAGTAACAAGTTTAGTAGTCTTTTACTAACCTGCTGAATGTAGAGCCTGAACTCTTTCCAGATACTCATTTATTTTTTCTTGAATATGTTCTAGGCTTGATCCTGCCATCTCAGCATAAATTAAGGCTTGTGCAGCTTCCTAAAAATAAAAAATAAAAATCCAAAGGAATCTAACAGATGCATTACAATTTCAATTTCCACCATTACTTTCTAATTCATTATTTTTCAATAAAACAATTTACATAATCCTCTAAAATACCTTTTCTACCAGCTTCAGTGCTCTCACAATTTTCATATATTATTAAAATTGGGGGGGTGGGGGGATTGAGCTCAGGGGCACTGGACCACTGAGCCACATCCCCAGTCCTATTTTGTATTTTTATTTGGAGATAGGCTCTCACTAAGTTGCTCAGTGCTGTGTTGTTTTGAACTCATGATCTTCCTGCCTCAGCCTCCCAAGGTGCTGGGATTACAGGCATGTGCCACTGTGACTGTCTTGACTATTAAAAATTTAAGAACTCAAGTATGAGGGATTTACGACAAACTTTTTTTAGAATAGCTGTGGTTCACATGTTTTATATTTTCCTTATGCATAGATCATATTTAAAATTATATACCTGGAAAAGATATAAACCTTAAAAGCATTACACAAAGGTTGGGGATGTACCTTTGGCAGAATGCTTGCCTAACATGTGTGAGGCCCTGGGTTCAATCCCTAACACTGCCAAAGTCAAAACAAAAGCATCTGAACAATAACCACCAAAATAAAATTAAATGTCAAAAAGAGATTGCAAAAAATTATAAAGGTTAAATATCTCAGAAGAACAAAATATTTTTCTCCATAGAAAATACTGTCAAAAGCAGATTTCACTTATATGAAATAAACTTTTAATTAAGAAAACCTCAACTTTTCTTCCAATTATTTCATAACCTTCACAACTAGTTATGCTATGGTTATGAGAAAGAGTTTCCAATCTCCCCATCACTGTCCCAGGAAAGCTACCAATGCTACCACCTAGAAAGAGCAGACAGTTTCTCTAGTCACAGCACCTTTTCTGCAATTACCCAAGCAGATACTATACTTCATGGGGCCTCATACCTGCTTCCAAAGAAGCCATGTTCAGAGCATCACTTATTTAATCCTGTTATTTGAGCAGACGTTGTTTCACTGAACCTAATGAAATCAATGAGAAAAGTGCAGGTTTGACCCTATTGGAAATTCAACCTAAAGGCTGTGGGGTAGAAACAGAAGGACTTCTTTGGATTTCATAACTTACATGAATTTCAAGGGGGGAAGGAAAAAAAAAACTTCAAATCTTTATATGCAAACATTAAATATTGTATCTTATAAACCATTATTATCTAAATACAAAGTTAAACCTAACTTCAATAAACTTGTTTTATCTATAAATTATATATTATATATTACCCTTTCAGTTGTCTTGCATGTAAATCCTGATTTTTTAAAATAATTATTTTGCTTTTAAAAAAAAGCCAAATTTTAGGCCCAGCTCAGTGGCACACAACTATATAATCCCAGCAACTTGGGAGACCAACTGACTCCCAAGTTGAAGGATCACGAGTTCAAAGTCAGCTTCAGCAACTTAGCAGAGACCCTGTCTCAATATAAATAAAAAGGACTGGGGATGTGGCTCTGTAGATAAATGACCCTGGATTAACATAAAATATTGCACCAAAAAAAAATGCAGAATACACATTAAAATTGTTCTTATCAAATCTTGTTTTACTCATTTCATTTATATTCAAAGGTGACTAAGAACTTGCTTAGCGAACAGCATCAGGGCAAAAAAAAAAACTAAACTGATCAAGTTTTCATAAACAGTTTCTGAACGTACAACTACTTTTTTTTTTTGTACTTTTTAAGGATGAAATATTCTTCCTAAGTGACCATGTACTAATTCTACAGGAAAATACAAAGTACTGCAGAATTTCTCTTTAGAAAAAGCTATTTTGCGCTGGGGTTGTGGCTCCTTGGTAGAGCGCTGGCCTAGCACACCGAGGCCTTGGGTTCAATCCTCAGCACCACCTACAAATAAATAAAAGTATTGTGTCCAACTACAACTAAAAAATAAAAAAAGAAAAGAAAAAGCTTTTTTTATATGGCACTATTTTAAAGTATTAATATTTGTCAACTTGGGCTGGAKTTATAGCTCAGTGATAGAGTGCTCACCTTGCATGTGAAAGGCAATGGGTTCGAACCTCAGCACCACATAAAATAAAATAAAGGCACTGAGTCCATCTACAACTAAAAAATATTTTTAAAAATCTGTCAACGTTATTTCACAAAACTAAAAAGTTTTCTTTTAMAGAAGTATCACCATATGATATTGTAAAAAGTCGGAAAAGAATGTTTCTGAAACACACCAAAAGTCTTTAAATATGAAATTATAAAATGAAGGCAATAAATTATTAGAAGCAAACCATGCTTTACTGATAGCACATATGCTTATGAGAAAAAGACTACTGTATTATCAAAACCCGACATTCTTTCTAGAAGGGATGACAATATCATGAGAATACAGCTACCTTCCTCATTTGGCTAGGGCTGGAGAAGTGTTTGCAAATCCTCAGGACTGGAGAGCAGAGAATGGACTACAGAAGCTCATAACCTTTAATTTAGCAATTCTGCCTCCAATAATTCATCCAAAAGAAATATTAATAAATGTGCAAAGCCTTAGTTACAAGGATATTAACCGCACCACTAGTTAAGATGCTGAAAAATCAAAAGGAAACTAAATGCCTAATAGATTGTAAATAAATTAAAATACATGAACACATAAAATACTATGCAGCTATTTTTAAAGTGATTTGGAAAAACATTCTAATAAGAAGAGGTTTAAAAAATAGCATACTAGGGCTGGGGATGCAGCTTCAAAGGTAGAGCTTTTGCCTAGCACGTGAGAGGCCTTGGGGTCAATCCCCAGCACCGCAAAAAAAAAAAATAGTACGACTCAAGTTTGTAAAAAATATATATACACATATGTGCATAGAAAAAACACAAGGATGCACATCACGTACTTAGAATAAAAGATGGGTTTATTCTTTAACATATGTTCTTCATCGACCATGCATTATTTTTGTATATATCACAAACTACTTCCTGCCAGCCATTAATCAGAGCCAAGGGACGGCGATAAACAGCCACTGACTCCCATCCCTAACTACTCCCGGCACAAACAGCTCAGTGGTGGGCATTTGCCAGCAAAGACCGCAGCGGGAGAGAAGGGCTAGCTCCTACGCGGCGACTCAGGCTCCGCACAGAGGCCAGAGCCCAGGGGGGGCGTGGGAAAAGCGAAGCCAGGGGGCTTGGGCGTCCGCACCTGGACCCCGCCCCTCGGCCTCAGGCTCTGCCAGACCCCGACTCCGAGACTGGGCCCGAGCGGAGTGCTGGGCCCTACCTTATAGTAAAACACCGCCTCGGAGTAGCGGCCTTCGTGGTCGCGCTGCACCGCCAGCCGAGCGAACTGCACGGCGTCCCGCTCCAGCGCCGTCGCGTCCATGGCGCCGGCGTCCCGCGCCAGAGGAGGGAACCGGGCCCTGACGCAGGACGACTCTCCGCGGGCCGCGGGGAGCTGGGGAAAGGACGCCGGGAGGCCGGGGCGCCGCGGAAGGAGCAGGAGAGTTTACTTTGCGGGGTGGAGGAAGGAAAGCCAGCTTTCTCCACTCGGGCCMGCGGTAGCACCGCGCCAGCTAGGCGCAGACAGGGTTAGCAGCCCTAGGGGCCGCCTCTCTTGGCGTCCCTAGCCCCGCCCACCAGCCGCAGCGCGCAGGCGCAGCCCGACCCTCTGGCGAACCTCCAGAGCTGTCCCTTCTCGTGTGGATATCACGGACGTGCGCGGGCGGTGGGTGGGGCCTGACCATTAGCGTGGAGATGCCCTGTCGCTGCGCACATGACCACCTCGTCGCCCGGGATTGGGTGAACGTAGGCAGGTGTCACATCTGACCTCTGGGCGTCTTCGCCATCTGAGTGAAGGTGGCAGTGAGGGGGCAGGCTGTTGCTGTTGACATTGGACGGGAGAGGAGCCTGCGCTGTTCGGATTCTTAAAGTGTAAAGGGTAGACGTAGTGAGCCAATAAGGAGCGTCTCCCCATTATCTGCAGGACCAGATTAAAAAGAAGTTAGGAACGTAAAATGAGGATTTAAGGTTCTTTTSAGTTGCACTGATAACATTTTTTTCCCCACGATCATTACCCTGTAGATCTATGTCTGGTATTTGAATTGTCAACAAACCAAATGATATATTTTCCTTTTTAAAGAATTGCTCAGATTTTTCCCAGATTTATTTTCCTCAATTGTGGGCTTTTGTTGTTTGGTTTTTGCAGTGCTGGGGACATTTACCTATCTTTAATTTAATGTTGCAGTAATTAAACAATTAAGTGATTACTTGATTAATATGTTCTCTTCCTTAAAAACCTGAATTCAGCAATAAAAACAAACTTCGATGAATCTAAAAATTTGTGCTGATTCAAAGAAGCAAGCCCTGACAAGATTATAAACCATATGATTCCATTTATAAGAAACATTAGAAAAGACAAAATCTGTAATGTTAGAAGATTAATGGTTGAGAAGGGATACAAAGGAATCTTTAGGGGATGATAGAAATGTTTTATATCTTGATGACAGTGTCAAAATGTCAAACTACATTTGTCAAAACTTGTCAAACTACATATTAAATGTGAGGTTTATTTTACATACATATATGCACGCAAGCAAGTAACAAAATGTTAATATCTACAAAGTTGACATTTACAGTCAGGATTATTGATGGATAGACATAGATTTTGTTTTATTAAATTTTTTTTGTATATTTTTTGGGGGGGCAAGGTACTGGGGATTGAACTCAGAGGCACTCAACCATGAGCCACATCTCCAGGCATATTTTGTATTTTATTTAGACCCTGACAGGGTCTCTAAATAAAATACAAAATATGGCTGGAGATGTTGCTTAGGGCCTCACTAAGTTGCTGACACTGGCTTTGAACTTGTGATCCTCCTACCTCAATCTATCAAGCTGCTGGGATTACAGGTGTGAACCACGATGCCCAGCTTTTTCTGTATTTTCTAAATTTTCTATGGTGAACTTGTATAACAGGAAAAAAAAGTCATTTTAAAAGACATGGGGAGAATATTTTTTTAAAAAATACCTTATATACTTTCAAAGAAGACTACTCCTTTTCCTCTTCATTGTCAAAAGAAAGGAGGCAGGTGTTTTAGATTTGCTTTTGTAAGTTCTTTTTTACTGAGTCCTGCTTATTTGAAGAAATGACTTTCTTCATTTGTCATCTTTTTTGAGCTTGCTGTTAAACCTGAATATTTTTCATCTGAGAGACGCTTGACTGGTTTTTGATACATGATTCTTCTATGAATTGGAGCTGGTTCTTCATCTGTTTTTGCAGCGTTTATTTCTGCTTTAATTTCATGACTTCTTCAGCTGTCAGGTCTTCCTTTTTTAAAACCACCTCTTGGGGCTGTTCATCGCTGTCACTGTGATCAACATCTTCATCCAGGAGCTGAGGCTGGATTCTCTTGGTCTCTATGATGGGCCCTTCCCTGTACCAGACTTGCTCCTTAAAGCAGGACAGGAAGGTGGGTTCAGCAGGCCTCCTGTACAACACCTGATTCCACTTGCTCATGGTAGATCTGGGAAAAACCCATTCCAGGGCCCCCTTACAGTGCCCAGAGGCAACGGTGTTCACAGGTGACCTAAATGTGAGTTTAATTTTTGTTAATTATACCTCAATAAAAAATTTAAGTCATTTGGACTGCATTTAAATTGGATTTTCATTTCTTAATTTCTGTTTTAGTTAGCTTTTTCACTGCTGTGACTAAAGGACCCAACCAGAACAATTGTAGAAGAGGAAAAGTTTATTTAGGGGCTCACGATTTCAGAGGTCTTAGTCCATAGAAGACTGGCTCCATTCCTTGGGGCTCCAGGAGAGGCAGAAAATCATGGTGGAAGGGTGTGGTGGAAGAAGCAGCTCACACCATGATCAGGAAGCAGAGAGAAAGACCACTACTTACCAGATACAAATATATACCCCAAAGCCACGCCCTCGATGCCCCACCCCYCCAGCCACACTCCACCTGCCTTCAGTTACCACTCAGTTGATCCCATCATGTGATTAACTCACTGATTGGGCTAAGGCTCTCATTATCCAAATCATTTCTTCTCTGAACCTTCTTGCATTTTCACGCATGTGAGCTTTTGGGGGACACCTCACATCCAAACCATAACACTCTCTGTTCACAGACAGAATAAGAGCAAAGCAGAAGTTAATAATAACCAAAACAACTACTGTCTCATCAAGCTATGGTAAAGAACACAGGTAAAGAATCTGACTCTGCACCTGGCACTAACATGGTTCTCAGAATTAGCTAGAACAGTTTTATAATTGAAGCAGGGATGGTTTTTTGTCTTTGCCAGTTTGATCCCAACATTGAGAACAAGCCTTGGTCCAGAGCAAGTATTGCACACATTTGTAAATGTTGAAATAGTAAACTCTCCTACTCATATATACTTAAATCTTCCCTCTCTTGGTTCTGAAGAATGAAATCTAAATTCCTTGGTACAATGTAAAATTCCCTTCAGTTTGTGAGCTCAGGCCATTTTCCCAGTGTTTTAGTCACTGCCTTGAATAAACTCACCCTCAAGCTATGAATGCAGTTTTTTTCATAACAGAACTTCAGTGTTTAATGTTCCTCTTTCCTTGTAGAATTTGTAGTCCATCTCCAAGCAGGCCTTTTACAGCACTCCCAGGTAGTTGTGACCCTTTCTTATACTTTTTCATATATTCCCTATAAGAACTTTAATACTTATTTCTAATTCAGTGAACACTGAACACCTATTTAGTGCCAGGCACAGAATTCATCATACAGCATGAGAGCCCATTCCCGCTAGAACTAAGACAGACCTAGAGAGGAGACGTTAGTCAGCACATAACACCCCTGTTTGGGAAGCTCTCTCTGTTGATCATTGAATTCCTTGGCCCTCCTACAGATGGCTTTATAGTCAGGAAAGCAAAGCATAGTTTTGAAATTCAAGCTCACAGAAAATCTATATTTAATTACATAAGTTTATATTATTTAATCTGTATATATTGGGATATGTACATGTGTAAAATTCCACTGTAGACGGGGAAAATATCATTGTTGTTGTCATCATCATCATCACTATTTTAAAGTTGCCAATCAAGTGACAGTAATTTACTACTTCATTCAATGAATATTAAAAATTCTGTTGGTCCAGCACTACGGGTTAAAACAAAATGACCCAAACAGCTCACAATTGCTATAGGTTCTTGGTAGTTGTCATCTTTAAAGAGGGAGTGGGACAATTCATGTATTTAGTACCAGACATGGATCAACATGGGATCATTGCTAAGAAAAGAAAATCAGGGCTGGGAGGGCCACAGGAACAGCAGCTAAATCAGGTGTCTAACACAGTGTCCTAGGAGGACTGCCTCAGCGAAGCCCAAAGACAGAATAAGAGCAAAGCAGAAAAGAGAGAGATGGGCTTTTCAGGCTCAGCTAGAGGTGGGGGTACTAGCTCAGGGCGGGGAAGATTTGGATTCCCAGGGTATGGCTGTGGAGAGATGGGAAATAAAACTTTCTAACAATGGTTTTCACACTTCATCTGCTTCAGATCACCTAGATTCTATTTGCACAGATTGCTGGGTTCCACCCCAGAATTTCTGTAGGTCGGTGTGGAAATCTTCATCTCTGACAGGTTCTGACAGGTGATGCTGAGGCAGCTTGTATAGAGACTGCACTTTGAAAACCCCTGCTCTAGAATTAAGAAGGAGGCATGGAACGGGTGCAGTGGTGCACACCTGTAATCCCAGCAGCTCTGGAGGCTGAGGCAGAAGGATCACAAGTTCAAGGCCAGCCTCAGTAATTTAGTGAGGCTCTAGGCAGCTTGGCAAGACCCTGTCTCAAAATGAAAAAAAAAAAAAAARSYKG